GAATTCCTAGTTGTGACATCAATCCTCAGTTATCATAATCGAATGAGGCCACCCGGCCTATAATCCTCTCACACTTCTAGCTCTCTTCTTTCAAGCCCTTAACCCGCACCTCTCTAATCTTCTCCAAAAATGGAATGATCACCGTCATCCTCATGCATAAATCTCTAATCAGAGCCACTACAACCTTGCAGCTCAAAGCGTCGGCCACAAAATTAGCTTTGCTCGGGTGGTAAAGGATCTCACAGTCATAATCCTTTACCACATCTAACCATCGACGCTGCCTCATGTTCAGATTCGGCTAATCCATGAGGTACCTCAAACTGTTGTGGTCTATGTAAATTCTATAATGGACCCTATAGAGGTAGTGTCGCCAAATCTTGAGGGGGAATATCATAGCCCCCAGCTCTAAATCGCGTGTCGGATAGTTAGCCTCGTGAGGCTTCATCTTTCATGAGGCATAAGCTATCACATGACCCCGATGCATCAACATTTGCTCCCATGCCTGTGATCAAAGCATCACAGTAGACTACGAAGTCATCTACTCCCCCTGGAAGAGTGAGAACCAGTGCCTTGCACAACTGCTACCTGAGCATCTCAAAGGCTACCTACTGCTCAGGTCCCCAGCAAAAAACAACCGAATTTATGGTCATTCGGGTCAACAGAACTACAATCTAGGAGAAGTCTTGAATAAATCTCCTGTAATACCCTGCCAGACCCAGGAAACTTCGAATCTCAGTTGGAGACCTCAGAATCTCCCACTACATCACGACCTCTATCTTGGCGGGATCAACCTGAATACCCTTCTGGTATACGAGAAGCCCAAGGAACTACACCTCGCGCAACCAAAACTCACAATTAGAGAACTTCACAAAAAGTATCTCCCTCCTTATTGTCTCCAACACCTCTCTCAGGTGCTCCTACTACTGAGTCTTGGAGTAAACCAAGATATCTTCAGTGAAAACTATTATAGACCGATACAACATTGGTCTGCACACGTGGTTCATGAGGTCCATGAACGCGTCTGGAGCATTAGTGAGCCCAAACGGCATCACCACAAACTCATAATGACCATAGCGAGTCCTAAAAACTGTCTTCTACACATCATCCTCCCTGACTCGTATCTGGTGATACCCTGACTGTAAATCAATCTTGTAGAACCAAGATGCTCTGTAAATCTGGTCAAACAAGTCATCTATCATCGGAAGTGGGTAACGGTTCTTCACTATTACCTTATTCAGCTCCCAGTATTCTATGCACATGCGATGTGACCCATCCTTCTTCTTTATAAACAGGATCGGGGCTTCCCATGGTGAACTGCTCGGCCTGATAAAACCCTTATCTAGCAGCTCTTATAGCTATGTAGACAACTCTTACTTCCCGGTAGGAGCCAACCGACATGGTGCCTTGGTTATCGGAGCCGCAAAAGGACCAAGTCAATCCTAAACTTAATTTGTCTCTCCGGAGGTACCCCTAGGTAATTCCTGCGGGAATACATCCAGGTACTTTCTCACTACCGGTACATCATCAACTGTCGCCTTACCTTACTCCTGGGTATCCATGACATAGGCGATATACCCTGCGCAACTGTAACATCTCAAAAATATAGGACAAAATTTTGATTTTTAAGTACGTTATTATAAAACCAATAGTATAATAAAACATCCATAATATCATGTCATGTCAAAACCAAAGTAGAAATAATCAAAACATGTTATCATAAAACAATATCATAGTGTAATCCCAAGGATCCCATGTGTGGAAAACCATAGTGTGATGCGTTGCGATCGAGTCGGCTCCTTTCCTTTGAAAATGAAGTAAATGAATCCAAAACTGAAAACTATAAGCCTGAAGCTTAGTAAGTTCCCCCATCATACCACATACCATACAATCACATAGCATACATACTGCCAGGAAATTCTGGGGTGCCCAACCTACCCGGTCCTCCTATTCTGAGGTGTCGACCTACCTGTGTCAAGCCATTATGAGGTGCTAACCTACCCTTCGGTTCTAACAACCGAACTCCAGGGACTATTTCATCCCCTACTACTACTACCACACATATTATAACATAATCATATTGTCAGACATATATGGGGTGCCCGACCTACCCTTCGGTCCTAATAATCGAACTTAGGGACTATTCCCCTCCTACTACCACTATCACATATAACATCTCATGCTAACACATAAACATACCAGGTAGTAGCAAACCAGACAATTATCACAAACACAATCATCTCAACTATAATCAACTACTAGTGGGCCGACCTTGGTGCCTTAGATGCACTTTTATTGGAAAGTAACTCGCCTCACACTGCTGAAGTCATGTAGACCCAACCCCAGCTGCTGGATGACAGGTTCCCGAACTGCCAACATCAAAACAGCACCCAATTAATAATTGGGTTCCAATATATAACCATAAGTCCATGTTTGGGGTAAAAGACTTTTTTACCTTAATCTTAGCTTGATCCAAGCCTAAGGCCCAATCCAAAGGCCCAAAAGTTAAGTATAGGTTAAAGGCCAACTCATGGCCTAATTTTCCAAATTGGGCCCAAACCTTTAGAAGGTCTTACTATAAGGACCAGCCATTTAGTCCAGTCCAACATTCAATATTCTAATGGCCCAAGAGCACATAATCATAAAGGCTCAAACTATGGCGCATCTATGGCCTAATTTTCCAAATTAGACCCAAGTCCTCATATGGGTCTTACCTTAAAGCCCATTAATTATTATAGTCCATTTACTTGATCTTGGATGGCCCATTAATAACCCAATCATCAAGGCCCAATAGAAAACCCCAACAATAAACCCAAGTGCAATTAGGGTTTTACATAAAATGACAATTAGGGTTAAGTGTTTCTCACTTAACCCATTAAGGACTTAATCCTTCAAGTCCAATATTACTTTAGGTTGATTGCAAATGATTGATAATTAACATATTAAGTTTAGTGAATAATTCAAGTGCGGGTCCAGATCAAATTCCGAAAATTAGGGTTTCACATAAAATGACAACTAAGGTTAAGTGTTTCTCACTTAACCCATTAAGTACTTAATCCATTAATTCCAGCACTCTACTAGATAAGTCATACAAACTAACATTTTCATATACTACTCCAAAGTACGGTAATGAACATATATGTTAGAAAATATTTGATTTTCTTAAGAAGCATACAAATATTTTTACAGATTTAATGACAGGTTTACATTAAAAAAAACATTCTTATGAACTCATCATCTTAATGCTGATACTCTTTCAAAATCGCTTGTATTCTCAGGAGATCAGTAAACAGGTAATCCCGCAGACTTTTGAGAAGACGGGGCATATAGAGTCTCGTCTTTTATATTTTGGTATACTTTTGAAGTATACAAATTATGTATCAAACAGATGTAAATACCTTATATTTTCAATGTAATGGTTGTGTTTACTTTGATTATTATGATGCAATTGTTGTGATAATGTGCATGACGTCCTCCATCCCCGAACGTTTCCGTTGTTTCGGTTTGGGGGTGTGGCAGATTGGTATCAGAGCTATTGTTTACAGTGAACTAAGTATATCAAACCTTACATGGTATATAAGTATAAACGCTAAGGGGCCGAAGTGCTCTGAACTAAAAGTATACTTTTAAAAATCTAAGTATTTTATAAGAATTATACAAGTATATATATATACCAGAAACAGTTTTGCAAGTAGAACAAAACAAAAGTATGTGGATGTTGGACACTGTAGTTAAACCTGGATAGTTATGTAATCATGTATGGAATAAATATAGCCTGACCAACTATATTTATTTGGGACACGACCAACATATGTTTGGGAGTGACTGTGGTGTTGCAACAAGCTTAAAACTTACCCACTCCATTCAAAAGAGAACAAAAGATCACAACACACAACTTAAAATACTATAGGAGTATTTTATATAGAGTCGAACACAGTGTAGAGATTCATTCCAAGTGTTGCTACTTATTTCTTTTCTATCGATAATTTACTTGTACTGGTAACCTTTCTTTGTATATCATATAGTAGAACACTTTATCTATCAGGTTGAGATATATATTGTTCCATATCACCTAACTCTGAAATTTAAGGGACTTACCATTCTCTTCTCCTTGATTATTTTAGAGTAAGATGCCTCCGAAGAAGAGACCCAATAGAAATAACAACAATCCCCCGATAGATCCGCCAACGCCACCTCATCTGTACGATCCAACTGGTTTCCAAGCAACTGTAACAGCTGCCATGGTTGTTGCTATGTCCTAAATCAACACCATCGGTACAAGTGGGGCAGGTAGTTGTGCCCTTACATCCAATCAATAACATAATAATACTTGATATTCTAAAAATTATTTTATTTGGTGGACTCTCACTTTGTCAATATACTGTTTGACCCTACTGGTTTATTTTTCGTTGAATTTGACTTTATTTAATTAAACCGTTTTGTTCCTAAAAAAATACTCTATAAAATTTATTACAATAGTTAGCAACAAATGGTAAATAACTTTAGCAAATCTATTTAATTTCTAATCTACAAAACTAAGGTGTTGTTTGTTTTAGAAGTGGTTAAATGTCTTTTGTCTTTTTCAAAGTTTGCGGAAGAAGACGTGCACTTGCGAAACGTTTACTCGCCAGAAGGGAAAAGTGCTCAAAAAGTACTTTTGTAGAAAAACAAATGGGGCCTAAGATATGACACACGTTATTGAAGGATTTACTATAATGGTGAACTGTGTTATTTAAGGAATCAAAAACTTGAGAGATATGCCAACTAGATAGTTAAAATCCACCGGTGTATCATTGCAGTACAT